CTGCGACCCTGCCTGGATTTATTAGGGAAGCACTTACATGCCCCTAGGATGTGTCCACCGCAAGTTCACTGACAAAGCAAGATGCCATTACAAGGATGGGAGCTAATTTTGATAGTGTCACGTTACTGAGAGAAGCCTGGTGGGGCTGGGAGCTTAAGGGACAGCAACTTGTGCTCCTTTGCCAGGGGTTTCTGCCGTCAGTTCCATCCCCAGCACACCAGGGGAGGGGGAGTAAGGATGGCTCAGTATTCATAAGTGAACACTGGCTGCCAAAGTCTTCTTCCTGCTTCATTGTTATTATGCTAGACATGGATGATCTTGACTCTTTTCTACTCATCCTCGGTCCTGAGTGTAGAAAATCAATAGAAGAAAAATTTGTCAGAAAAGAACACGAAGTTATATACAAAAGTATGCAGATATTTAATCCTGCAGAGACGAAAAGCTAGGCTGAACTATAGTTGTGTTTACTAGAGACGAACAAAAGAAAAAGAAGAAAAATCTTAGAAGATATTGCGTTTTAAATGAAAAGAACAACAGCAGTGCAAGGAAATGCTCTTTTTGGACTACTGAGGCCAGAGGGGCCATCCCTTCTGTGGATTAAAGATCAGTATGACAAGCCAGTTCTCAGTAGGGTCCTCCTGCTTATTGTGTCATCTTTTAATAGGGTTGTAACTCCTGAGGAGGAATTTACTGCTTGGCACTGTTTCGAGACATGCCTGTACTCAATGACGCAGTTTAGAAGAACGAGAGTTGTGTTTGCAGATTATATTTAATGTCATATTTATTTAATGGGACGATCAGTTATTATTCCATAAATACTTTAATAAATATTGGGAAGTGATCAGCTAAAAACATTGGGCAGAAGTTTAGTACTTTTCATGTGTGCTACTGTTAACATCTGAAAAGGAGTTTTTATGTTGCATGTCTAAATATTGCTTGTTATCCAAACTATTTTGAGAGAATCCTGTGGTCAGATAATAGTGATTATTTTGGGGGCATCTTGAGAAAACAATTTCCTAGAAGAATGAAGTGTATATGCAGGCTTAAAGCAGTCCAGCAAGAATATAAAGATGTTTCTTGATGTGCGGTAGAGGTTAACCCTGCTTCTATTGGAGACAGGCATACACTTTGCTGGTAAAAGGCATATTCCTCTATATTGAGGCTAGTGTTCTCTTACAAAATTGCCCAACTCACCAAATGTGCTGTCAGACAGTGAATGTTTCAGAGGCTCAGGTCACCAAATGTGCTGAGTCACAGACACTGAATGGTTCAGAGGCTCAGGTCACCAAATGTGCTGAGTCACAGACACTGAATGGTTCAGAGGCTCAGGTCACCAAATGTGCTGAGTCACAGACACTGAATTGTTCAGAGGCTCAGGTCACCAAATGTGCTGAGTCACAGACACTGAATGGTTCAGAGGCTCAGGTTACCATATTTTCTGAGTCACAGACAATGGTTCAGACTTTTCCCTGAAGTGGGCCAAGCTGGTACCTTAAGTCAGGTTCAGATTTTGTTCACTTGAACACAGACTTAGTGCCTAGCTGAGGGAAATGATAGTTTCAGTGGTCTAGTATATCCATTAAAAACATACCAGCGGGGTAATATTGACTGATTTTATTCAATAAAGTCTTATTTATGAACTTTCATAGTTGAAAAATATACCATGGGGCCACTGAGTTTATCTATTCAGTACATTTGGAGAAGTCACTTTTAATTTTTTGACAGAAGTGAGATTTTTTTTTTTTTAATGAGAACTTTATTATTTTACCAAATTTTCAGTGAAAGAGCAATAACTGTTATTTACCACTCCCTGTGCTGTTGTATAAACAGCACAGTAGCTTAAGTGCTGGCCTCCCTACCAGATTCATGGAAAGAAATGCTCTTAGATAGCCTCTTTGGTGCAGTACAATAGGGAAGGAATAAACACCCCTTTATAGAGATTTTTGCTGTGCTGTTACTGTAGGGTACAGTCAAGCCAGAGATAGAAGCAAGGCCAGGGGACCATGTAATGCTCTTTCAGAATTAACCCGAAAAGCACAGAGCTCATGGGTGAGATCACAAAGGTGGTTACAACCAAGGAGGCAACGGCAGGAATTTTCTAGGCTGGAAGTTTTTCTCAAGTATTTAAGTTTGAGGGTAAGGGCAGCTAAAAGTCCTTTCTTCTCTTTCCTGCCTGTCTCCCTTAGCTTCTGGCATGGATGGGGGGGTTCCTGCTTGGAAGCAGACTCAGTTCTCCCAGAATTTCATGATTCTCTAAACTTTCTAGAGGCAGGGAGTAGAGCATCTCTCTATCTGTGGGTGTCTGTGCCTGCAGGATGTCAGATGGATAGTTCCCTTGCCAGGCCATGGACCTCTTCCATCAAATGGATGATGATCTCAAAAGTCATGCAAGCAGCAATTGAGAAAGTAGTGTAATTGATGTTGCAGGGGTTTGACTTGCAACTTGGAGTCAAAGTCTACCACATTCCCTTTCCCATCCACTACTGGCAATGCTGAGATTTGGCACTATACAAAGACAGCCACAGCCACGCAGATGCAGTGATAGTAAGGGCTGTAGCTATACAGGCCTAGATGCCTATCTGTAGCTTTTCTAAAGGTGCAGTCATGAGTTCTAGCATGAGAACTCGGTGATAGGGTATCAGACACCATGGTGCCCTGAAAATGCTTGTCTTCTACTTTCCATGTTGTGTTTTTCCAGCTCATGGATGGTACCCATGATGGCTCGGCTGCAGCAGTGCAGCATCCACATGAAACCATGATGGCATACCACACTTTGCTTCTTACTGTCTCACCTAGAACAGCACACACACCACTGGTCATCACTAAAGATGCTCTCTGCAACTAGGAACATGAAGGAATCAAGTCAGAGCAGGGCTAAGCACTTTATGAAGGAGATAGACATGCTAGCTTTTGGAATCTGGGGTCTCTTGTAGGCGTCATAGCCTAGCTAGAGAACTACTGGAAATAACCAAGATGCCAGGAAAAAAATAAATAAAGAGTTTTTTTGTTTTGTTTTTTTTCCTAGACTTCAAGGTTTAGCCATTTTAAGAGTACAGGCACAACATTTTAGATTGGGAGAGAGAAAGACAAATTCTTTGCAAAAACCACTTTTCTTCATTTAAATACATTAACACAGAATCAACCCAGCTGTAAAATCTTTTCTTTTTTGAATTTGCTGCATCAAGAGGCCGTACTTGGAGACATCACTACCAGGGCTTGTGTCAGGTTGTCAACTGTCTAATTTACCTCTGTCACAATCAAGTCTAAGATGTTAGTTATAAATGAATTTGCCAAAGTTAATCTGTGCAAAACTGTACACTATAAGATAATACTGTTGAGATACATAATCCTCTCTGGCTAGTCACCCAAAATTCATGTTCTGGAATGTGTCAACTTAATGTTTGACTTAAAGGATTTTTAATTACTATCTCAGGCCATTTTCTTGTTTTAATTATAAAAATCATTTATGAAGACTGTTTATATATAACATCTGAAATGATATTGCAATTCAGCAACCCTTCTAATTTTGCTATGAAAATATCGACAAACACTTAGCCTTATTTTGCGTTCTGTTCTGGCTTCTTATAAATCTATGTAAATCTCTGCTTGGCACATTAATTCAAGACTCTTTTTGCAGATAAGAGTAACTGAAACAAACTAGTGTTTAACAAAGTGTAAGTAATGAAAGGAAGTTTGGTGGCTGCTTGAAAACCGTGTGATTTCAGTTGACATTCTCAGATGTTGAAAATAATCTCTTGGAAAAAACTAAGCATTCCTTTAGTTTCATTCCTAATTTATTTCCCTTGGGACCATGTGCCCTAGTGTGACAGAAAGAGCATGTGAAGATTTTGTTAAGGTTAGCAGGGTTTCATGAAGCTTGAATTAAAATGAAGAAACTGAGCACAGGAAGTCCACACCCCTTTTCTCATTTCTTATATCTAGGGGCAAAAGTAAAATGTAAAAAGAAAAACCCATAAGGTATTTCCTTAAAAGTTTCTTTTGTTGTTTGGAAAACATTAGAATGCACACAAATTATTGAAAACTCACAATTAGAATTGGACACCTCAAATCCTAAGCAAAAATTAGTTCTTATATGGGAGACTTGTTTTGATACAAATTAATGACATATTTCTCTCCCTATAAAACTATGAAAGAAATATACTATTATCTTATTTAAAGCAAGATGAACAATTAGAAGGCTTTGTTGAGGTATCACAGAGAACCCTGGGCCCCATGCCTGTTCAACATGAACTGAAACTCAGAGCTACAACCACACCCCCTTAGAAAGCCATTGGGACATTCTTTTATGAGGTAAAGATTTTAGCTTAAATTTACAGGAACTTTCTTTAAAAGACTTTGCCCTAAGATCTGTATGCAATTTTGAGTGTCTGAATAACTGTTTTATGAGAAAGATTGCACATTCTATACCACATTTACTGGCAGATGGAGGAGAAAATTGTACTACTGGATTAATGTGTTTTTGATACATTTTACAAACAATGAGGGAGCGAGGTAGTTTCATGGCTGCAGTCTCTTAGAATCTCATGTGATTAGTTTATATGCATGCCGTGATTTCTCACATGAGCAAAATAGAAAATGAAAGAAGTTATAAATCCAAATATTCAAGCATTTACCAGTTGGTCCTCAGGGCTTAAAGGACAATAGAGTTTGAAGGTACATGATATACTTCATAAATGCCCTAAGTCGTACAGAGGAGAGAGCTGACGCGAGTATGGAATTGCATTTTTTTCATTGTGAGGCAAATCTAGATGGCATCAGAGCCTTGAGAGTCATGGGAACTGGTTCAGACTGGGATCCCAAAGTGTGTTTTCAGGGGATGAGAGAACTGTTGGAGGTGAAAAACCATGGAGCCATGAGTAGGCAATTGATGGCTGCTGTCATGATCCTTGGTGACATTTAGAGTAAAATAAACATTTTCTCAGATTGGCTGGTTTTCAGTTGTTTTTCTTTTCAAATCCCTCTCTTTATTTATTTTACAGTGGATGGAACTGAGGTTCAACACTCTGGCAAAATGCCCACACTGCAAAAAAATGTAAGTTTTCTGCGGCTGGGGATAGCATTGAGAAGTGCTTGAGCGCAATCTTAGAGTCTGGAATTGTCACTTAAGTAGATTTGATTTTTCAAGACATGCTATGAAGTGAGTGAATGCTTAATATAGTTACCATTTTCAAGACAAAGCCAAGGCATCTTTAGTCTACTATAGACCATTTTGGAATGAAAGTAATTGAGCTTGATTATAGTTCTTTAAAGGGACATCCATTTCTAAGAGACTAAAATTAATAAACGGTCAGCTACCAGAGAGTTTTCCAATGTTATAAAGGTTATAGTCTCTTGCAGCTAATCTGCAGTTTGTAAGAAGTATTGTAATAAAGAAGAAAAAAAATCTATATTATTTGTGAGTCTGTAATTAGTTGATGGTTAGTTTTTCCACTGCCTTCCTAATGAGATTATTACTGTGGCAAAGTTTATGTAACTATCTGTTTTAACAATGAAGTCTGTTTATTTATGTTTACCTAGGGAAAAGAATAAAAAGCAATATGACCATGGGAAACCGCAAAGATATTTTGATTAAAAATATTTCACGGCTTAAGAGTTGGGGACTCTGATGATCAAGATTTCATTCCAAGGAGGTTTACAGTGATCAGTCTTACTACAGATGATGATTTACTCTAGCTGAAGAATATTAAACATACTCAGCAAAGGGAAAAAACAAATGGGCACAAACCTTGGAGGACTCAAACAAAAGTTTCCAAGAGGCCTTTCTTAGTGGAGTCTTCGATGAACGAATTGTTACTACATCTGCAATGTATGTCTACTAAAGGTGTTCACTTTAGACGTGGTGCCCTGGGGAACACTGGCAGCTGTTGCCAAGCTCATACCCACATTCCAAATGCCCAACAGTACAGTTCATATTTGGGGTAACCCATATCACTCACAGAGAGAATTTATACCCTATAAGCCACTCTTACCACGTAGGGAATTCTGGGAACTTTAAAAAAATCTAAGTGCCCAGGCAGCGGCCCAGACAGTAGTCTTAGGCTTGCTATATTAACCTTTCCATACAACATTAATTTCAATAATGAAAATTTAATTAAAAATGATTGTCCATTTACATGGGTGAATTACAATGTAAGCAAAGTCAATTAAACTGGAATGTTTTGACAGTTCAATTTTTAAAATAGAAAGTATGGATTCATACTTTATATGACCTTCAGTATGATCTAATTAACTTCATCTATTTTGGCAATAGAAGAATACTAAGAATGGTTTCTCAGGGAAAATAATTAAAAAGTGTCTGAAAAATTGAGACTACATAATGAAATGTCTCCAATCACTGCTGCTAAATGATTTTAATTAAATATAATCCTGGGATAATTTTCTCTATCATTCAGTTTTCACTTTAAAAGAAAAGATACTTTGAATATGTAAAATGAATCACCTGAGTTCTTAGTCTTACTGAATCTGGAAATCCACGCATGGAGATGAAAAATAGTCAACCCCAAACACTTACACAGAAAAAAGCATCATGCTGGAGAGACAACTCCATGCATGTGAACATGCATGCCATCCCTACATGTTTATGCATGCATCACAAAATGCACAAGATCAAGTGGCAAATACCTTCCGCATGGACATTGCATGCCATTAAAGATCATAGACAATAAGAAACAAAAGATGGTCTGCTTTAAATACAGTGAGAGTGTCCCACCTGAGCCCTGTATACATTAGCCAGAACTTTTGCAGCCATCTTAGAATGCAGGGGTTGTTGATCCAGTTTTACGAGTTAGAAACTGCTGAGAGGGGGTAAGGGTTTTTATGTTTGAGGAACTTGTTTAACTACACTAGAACAATGGCACTGTTTTTGCTCAGAAGAACGTTAAATTTCTGATCATAAGGCTGTATTGATATAAAGAAGAATTTATAACTCAGGGAGCAGTGTACATAGAAATTCATGTGGACAAAACCATTCTAAGGAGATGGTTTGTAGAATTGGTGTCATATGCTAACCATGGGAAAATTCAGGGAATTTGTTACTTGTGGGCAGATACTGTCATTACATGAGCTCTCATAGCTGGTTTCCAGATTGTTTGGCATGTTTTTCTTTATAGCAACATGATGAGTCTATTAGAATAGGTTGCTGAGACAGCATTTTATTTCTTTAAACATCACTGTCCTAGAATTCTTTTTTATTTATAGGAGTTATGAAATCATTACTACAAAGTTAGTATGCCATGTGGTAATCTCACAAGTGTTTGAGGACAACATTCCCCACAGCTCCATGGGTCAAGGAATTTATTCTCCTATCTCATTTCCTTAATAATGCAGAAATGGAGACTATTGCAGCTGAAAATGTGGTTTGCTTTCATTGTGGCTGGTGGTTACCCTCTGGATATGCAGTTCTAGCATTCTGAAACACAGTTTGGGTTATAGTCCCCCACTGAAATGGATCTACAATTAACAGAGACATGGCTTTTCCTTTAAATTCTCATTGGATTCTACATCACCAGGAACCCCTTTGTGAATGCCTCTCTACTGTTTTTTCAGTTATTGTGGATACTCTAGAATTTTATGAGATTGCCCTTTTACGTCAGTAAGCACTCCATGTTACTGGGAACTTGAAATAAAGGACAGACATCTTACAGTGATGCCCACTAGTTTGGTAGGCAAAAGATGGGGAAGGGGCAGGATAGAAAGGCACAGTAAAATGTGGTACCATAGTAGTGTATGATGTGCTTTGAAGATGGCAGGGAAAGCCATCATGAGAGGTGACCTTCAGGTGGAATGTGATCTAAGTTTTAGACACGGGGGATTGGTGAAGAGGTCAGTATGGTTTACCGCAGAAGCAGTCACTTGTGGGAAGGCGAGGGAGGAGTCAGAGTGTATCCGCAGTGGTAAAGACCCAACAGAGAGGCCTGGGCGTGGATGGGCCAGACTGGGGCCAATGATGACCTTGTTTCCTAGATGCTCCGGAGACTTTCAGGAGGAACCCAGGATCTAGAAGACATGCAGCTAGAAGCAATAACAGATTCCTTTTTATCATGGTTGATATGGGGAGACTCAGGTTTGCTAGGTTCACTGAGTCTTTACCTTGTCTATCTGCTATGCAAGTAACATTTTACATCAAGGCAGTCGATGCCTCTCCCTTCCCTTCACCAAGATAACTGAAAGTTGAAAAAAGTGGTTTTTGTTAGCCTTTTACTAATGTACAACTACCCTTCAGCTAAAGCTTTGCTCTTTGTTGCTCTTTAAGTGTCCTTCCTTAATTTCCACCACCATTGCCCCAAATCACTTATGTCCGGTTCTTTTTGTTCTTACACATTTCAGTTCCGCCTCCCTGCTTTCCTTGTCTCTGCTGATGTGTTGCTTTCCATTTCTCTGAGATGACTGGGAAATCCTTTGGCTTTAAGCATTGTCTAAAGCCTGTCTTTGCCTATGGTCACTCTCCTTCTCTTAGAGGAGAGAGGTCTCTGTGCAATTCCCTCTGGCATAAGCCACCCTAGCGATTATTATCTAGTGAGTCATTGGCTTTGCTAGGAGGAAATTCACATCTAGTTGCAACTTCGAGCCATTCAGCCATTCAGTCCTTACCCACTTGTGACCTCCTCGGAGAAAGTTTGATCATTGTTGTTGTTGTTTTTTAATTTGTCCTGTTCTTGGTTATCAGAAATTGCTTTCTTCTGAGTTTTTCCCCTTATGAGAACACACCTTCGTTATTGCTTTTCTTGGTCTCATTTCCTTTTCTAAGTCATTGCACATTGGTGGTCTCCAAAGCAGGAATTTCAGTGCATTTTATGTGAGGTTTTATGTGCTGCACCGTCATCTATATGCCATGGGATGGTTCCGATTTCTTTCCCAAACTTCAGATGCAGATAGATGATCTCTGTTCAGAACTTCACGTAGTTATTTCATTCTGCTATCTCATTGGCATCACAAACATCTCGAACAACTTCCTGACCTCACTTACAGAGAATAGATATATCAATGAATGTTACCCCATCTCGAACAACTTCCTGACCTCACTTACAGAGAATAGATATATCAATGAATGTTACCCCATCTCGAACAACTTCCTGACCTCACTTACAGAGAATAGATATATCAATGAATGTTACCACATCTCGAACAACTTCCTGACCTCACTTACAGAGAATAGATATATCAATGAATGTTACCCCATCTCCGTAGTGCAGCCAGAGCGCTAATTGTATCTTTTCTTTATGTTCCCTATATGGTGCCGATATCGTATCAGTTATGTCTCTTGCTATTTTACCTTTTTCTCCATACTCTTACTATTTCAACATTGCTTCACTCATTCAGCCTGTGTTAGTGCTCTGACAGTGGCTTTCTGATTTCCTTTTGGCCCCAGCCTTTCAACCAGTTCAACCCATATCCACACACGCTTTTAAAATCTGGCTTCAGATCTCCTAGTAGTTCCCATAGCAGGCAAATGTGTGAGTTACATGCTGTACAACTCGAGAAGACTCCATGCCCTTCTTATCTTAATTCTGTCCATTGGCTTCTTAATTTTGCCTTCCTAGTGGCATATAAATTGTTTTGAGAAAACGTTTTCTCTCTCGAATGCTTCGTAGGAAGCTTTATACGGTCCACAGACTTAAGTTACCTTCCAGAGCTTTCTTCATTTTCTTCTGAACCTACAAACAACCCCTATACATTAATGTCAACCAATTCTTTTACTTCTCTAAGCGCCCTCTACAGTTCCTTGATTCTTTCCTTTGTTCTTGTGTGTGAGCCATGAGATGGCCTGGCTGCTTCACTTCTTGTCCCCTGTCTGCCTCAGAGACACCCACTAAGCCCCGCAAGTCAGCTGAAATCTCTTTTGTTTCTCTTGTTTGCTTGTACAAACGTCCTGTGGGAGAATGGCTACTGTATTAAGTTTTTCTCTCTCAGTCTTGAACCATGCTACTATTATAAACTAATATTCTATTCTACTATCACCCTACTAATATCATCCTGTTATCTATGCACACCATCTTACACTGCCTTTACGCCTCTCTGATTGGTTTATTTTGTATTGCAATAATGAAATATTAAAGACTTCATGATATATATATATATATATATATATATATATCTTAGTTTAGCTCATGTGATCCAGGGTTAAGAGCCTATGTGCGGTGGTGGCCTCCTTGCTGGCAGAATTCTGGGGTGGTGCAGAGTGTCACATGGCTGATGGCCAGGAATGTACACATAGTTGTTCTGCCTGTTCTTTAAGAACAAACAAAACAAGCTAGATTCACTCATGGGGTATCACCCTGGCGACCATGTCGAATCCTAATTACCTTTCACAAGCCACATATCTCTATGCACTTCCAGTTAAATTCCCATCCTCTTAAACCTTACTGGAAGATTATACTCCAACCTGAGTTTCAGAAGGGAACAAGCAATGATCAAACCATGATACTTTTCCTTCCCCTATTACATCATCTGAAATTATAAGGAATATTGATTGGCATTAAAACATTTTCACAGCAATAGCTACACTCTAGCATTCCGTAAAGCGGTTTTGTGAACAGGGAAGTTTGTAATTTGAAGCATAATTAGGTGCTTGGGAACACTAACTAATCTTGCCTTTTGCAAAGTCGCTGTCCACATTTTTTTTGTATATGCATAGATTAGCTAGTAAGAAAGTTAAAAAGAATTCCCAAGGGCTCACAAATGAAAATACAACGATAGACTTTAGGGTTCTGGTAAAGAGAAATAGCTTTTGCCTTTCAGGAGATGGAAAGGTTGGAATATTATTCCCTCCCAATAACCTTCGCAAAATATGTTCTTCTCCCAAATGAGTAGGTAATGAAAAATAGCCTATTACAAAGGGGAGAAATGAAAAAGATAGCTGTGTCAGCAAGCATCTTAATAGCTATATGGAAGGCAAAAAGGAGGGTTAAGAAATCACAGTTGAGAATGGAGTGAAAGTAATGATAGAAAAAGATATAACCGTGAACTCACCAAAAGGAAATTGGCAATTAGGGTCAAAACATCCATATGAGGTTAAATAGCAAGTCTTTGTGCTTTTCTTCCTTTTAGCAGTTGACCTCTACTCCCAGCCCATCCCCCAGCCCAGCTGTATCCTCTCGTACGGTGGGACAGCTATTTGTTTAGGTTGGAAGCAGTGGGATCTGAGTAAAAGTGATGAGTACACCTTTCTACCATGTGCTTCCAACACAGAATTCCTTGATTTGGTGTTCTCTTGCCTCTCTAGCTGTTTGGAAAGGAAGCTGCAACAGGAATCTTGTTACCAATTTAGTGGAGTCTGCCAATGCCAGTTAACCACAGCACAAGTCAGCTCTAGGCTGGACATCTGCATCTGACATGATACAAGAGAAACAACAAATGCTCTTAAGTTACTGTAGTTGTGCTTTGCCTTTGATGGTCTGGTGGTCTGGATTTCTCTTTTATAACATGTATTATTATCTATTTAATTTTAAAATATCATATTGGTCTCTTCCTCAGAAATATAGATTTCATACTTGTATGCACCACAAACTATATAGAGTATAATATATAAATATAATAATAAAAAGAGAAACTGGCAGTTATAATAACTATGTTCTTATACAAATAAACACAACATTTTAAGACTTTAAAAGATAGAAAAATATTTCTGTAACGGAGAAGAAAGAACTTTCTAGATAAGGAAGATTGGTAATTTTGAATATAGATAATTACCTTGGTCTGGAAAGATGGCTCAGTGGTTAAGAACATGTATGGATCTTGCTAAGGACCTACATTCAGTTCCTAGTTTCTACATTGGGTGGCTCACAACCAGCTGTAATTCCTGCTCCAGGGGGAATCCAACTCATTTGGTCATTTATCTGAAGGCTGATCACTGTGATTTTTTGTTTGTTTATTTGTTTTTGGTGATTTATTTATTCATAGATGGATATTGTCAGTGAGCAGGGCACCATTTACCTTTGTCACTTGTTGGAAAATGTCATTTTATGTTAAAATTTAATACTAGATATAGGCAATATATCCACAAGCTAAACATTTGTGGTAATATATGTTACTCCTGATACTGATAAGTTGACATTATTTAATATCTCAATGTTGGACTCCAAGTTTATTTTGAAGTTGTTTGATTTATATGATTTCTATTCTTTTATTAAACTTAAGAACCTAGTTGTGATTTTTTTTCAAATAAAAACATAATCATTGTACTTTAAAAAAGAGAGAGAGAAAATGTCGTTTTATACATACTGCCTGCCATTTTGAAGAAACAAATAAAGCCAGTAAGTTAGTGACGCCAGACATAAGAAGTCAGGAGTCATGAAGACACAATGGAAAGTCTTGGCATAAGTATTTAATGTGTCTGCTCTTTTCAGCTCTTCAGTGGGGAGTGCACTTCCCCGGAGACGCTGCTGTGCGTATATCACCATTGGAATGATATGTATTTTCATTGGAGTCGGGCTAACTGTGAGTATTGCCTCTGCTTCTTTGTTCTGACACAGGGTCTCATGGAGCAGAGGGTGGCCTTAGAACTCATGAACCTCTTGTCTCTACTGTAATCCCAAATACTGGGATTGTAGGTGTATTTGGGATTACAGGTATACCCTACCATGCCAAGAGACTGAACACTATTAGAATTTTTTTTCATGAGATTTAGGGTGGTCATCAGAGATCCCCAAGATTGTGGCCACTCAGTGTGACAGGCTCCAGAGCTTCTGAAGGACTATGATTAATCAGATATCCATTCCTTGGTTATGTCTTTGTTAATTAATTAATTTTAAAAAGATCTTTAATAAGCTTTTTATTTTTATCTTATTTTATGTGCACAGGGATTTTGTCTGCATGTATGTCTGTGCATGGCTTGAGTGGCCGATGCTCGTGGAGACCAGCAGAGGGTTTCAGATGCCCTGGAGCTAGGGTTACAGATGATTATGAGCCCTGATTGTGGCTGCTGGGAATCCAGTCTAGGTCCTCTGAATGAGCAGTCAGTGCTCCCTGCCTCTGAGCCATCTCTCCAGCACCATTTTTTAAAGATTTCCTGGCCTTATATTAATTATATAAAGCATGAGCTGTTTCTAACAGAGTCTCCTGCCCAGGGAAAGACTATGTTTGTGCCCCTCTGAAAGTCTGTAGTTCTGAGAAATTCACTATTCATTGGCCAAAAGCCATTTCACTTTTGTTGAGTGGGCAGGACCAACTTTGCCTGGTCATGGAGTAGCTCTAATATCCAAAACAACATTGTTCATTTGCAGAGATCCGAAAAGTCATTCTCTTTATCCACGTCAAGCAGAAGTTTATGTTTGTTATGAGGATGGGGTAGTTTCAGAGAGACTGAAGTTGAACAGTTGGCATGGTGATTTTACCAGGAGAAAGGGGTGGGGAGGCGATCCTGTTTTTACTGTCCGTGTTCTGTGTTCTTTGGTCAATACCCATGGTTCCATGTTATTAGTAGTGCTCTACTGTGTCACATGCTCCAGGTAGTCTAAAAGGGCCTTACTGGTTACAGTTTGGGGACATGTTTCATGTAATCACAAACGGAGGGCCAACACAAGTTTTCCTAGCAGACATTTTCTTAATGTTTTTTAACCTCTTGTTTTTTTTAATTGTTTTTGTTTCAGGTTGGCACACAAGATTTTTCAAGGCGATTTCATGCAACCTACGTGTCTTGGGCAATTGCTTATCTCTTAGGTGTGATTTGCCTTATCCGAGCTTGTTACTGGGGTGCAATAAGAGTCAGTTATCCTGAACACAGTTTTGCTTAAATCTACCCCTAAATCCTTGATGCAGGTGAAAGTGTCCAGTAGTTCTTGACAAGCTCTTTTGAACACATCACATCATTTATCCTAGTGGATTCCATCCTGCTTTGTATAATAGTTTCGAGACTTTATGAGTCTTTCCTGAACAGATGCTCACTACAGTACATTATATGCAAGTTCATTTTGCTGCTAGGTTATCAGACTTGGAAAAATAAAGTGTGTCTTTGTTCTTTTAAATCAAAGATATTTTTGGATTTGTCATAACATGTTATGTCTAATATCAGTCTTTTATTATGTTTAAAACAGATATTCCATTACTTGCTGATCTGTGACTATTCCCAAGAAGTGTTTATAAATGTTTCTATAATAGGTTCACATTTATACTTACATTTTCAACAGAATTGCTTGCTTTAAAATTCTAAGCAATATGCATTTTTGCTTGAACTGCTTACTGTAATTTTAACCTAAGATTATAGTTACCTTATTCAGGAAAAAAAAATTGAGTGTACTTTCAAAACTTGACATTCTTGTCAGAGAAACATTTCTAGATATTATATGCTTGTTTTTTTGTTGTTTGTAGAAAGATACAATATTTTGGTAGTAAATTAAAATACTTAGGATGAACATATTTCTCCACAGTTGGATATGTTGGATAAGTGTCTTTCCTCTAAGATTACAGAGTTTTTTGCCTTTCATTTTTGTCTTTTTGTTTAGCATTTACAAAAATCTGGTCTGGATCTATGGAATTTAATGTTAATCTGCTGGATGTATTCCTTTATCGACTGGAGGAAGTATTTCAGAAAACATGTTTTATAATACGCCATCATCTCATCAAAGACATATTTACACAGAGTTGCACTTCCTTTCCTTAGACTATGGCAAATTTTTCATCTTGAGATACTTGTGCAGCCATATCTCTGTGAAGAGAACCTATGGCATCTTGCATTAGCTGAAATGTTAGAATTAGATTCTCTTACCATTTCTCAGCTGACCAGATATGAATGACTCCATTTATTCAAGAAAATGGATCAGACATAAGGATTGTCATGGTTTCTAAAACTTCGCTTGGCATTCGTGGAGTTAGCTCCTGCCCTGCCCGTTTTTTCATTTTTGAAGGAATTATTTGCGAGTTAATGGTCCAAACGCTTTCAAATTATAGAATTAGACAATGAGATGACCCAAGTAAATTAGTATGTGATTCCAAAGGACAAGACTAATATTTTAAATTATTTATATTCCTGAATAATATAAAAATATACTCACCGCGAAGTTTGGAGTGAAATACATGTAAACCTCAAGGAGAAAATGCTAAATGTATAAATGCAGTAGCTCAGGATTATATGTATCTTTGAAAATACACTAATAAAGATTATTATTCAAAATGAGTTTGTTCTGTTTCATCTTAAAAATAAGGTTTAGTTTCTAAAATTTACTTTGAGATCTTGCTCTGAAATATTCATATTAAAGAAGATATATAACTTTTATAATTTTAATTTATCGTTTCCATAACTATGTCTTTCAAAAATCATTTTGTGTGTCATGGCATTGGTGGCACACATGAACTTAGGTATAAAGTAACCTCCTTTGTCTTGTCGTAGTGACAGTACTTTGTAATATCAAGGGATTGTTGTCAGCCCATTCCTTTCCCTATTGGTTTGAAATCTTACACTGTGTTATATGCTATTTGGCAATATCCTTCTGAATTATAACACCGAATTATAACAGGGTTCCCACATGTTCATCCCCCGTTAGATCCCTTACCGGTACATTTGTACTCTAAGTGAAAGAATGAACGTATATGAGGGTTAAGTGACTGGATTATTTTTAGTTCTTAAGGATACTTGGGTCAGTACTTGGTATTGTGAGGTAGAATATTTAGGTAAATATTATAATATTAGGTTAAAGAAAACATATCTAAATATTACCTAGAAGCAAAACATGTAAAAGATTGGTATAGTAAATGACTAAAACCAAGACAAACACTTCAAGAACTAATGTGTGAAAAAAAAATAAAAATTTACAAATGAGAGAAAAAAAGACAAATTGGGGAAGATGTTTTCAAAATAGTCGAATCAGTCTCTGAAATATGGGAGGGATATAAAGACAGGAAGAAGCAATTTGTACGAGGAGACATAAAGCCAAACATGATGGCACACACCTTTCATCCCAGGGTTGCAAGGCAAGAACCTGGTTTAATAATGTCGTGTGTGTGTGTGTGTGTGTGTGTGTGTGTGTGTGTGTGTGTGTGTGTGTGTGTGTGTGTGCGCGCGCGCGCGCGCGCACGGAGGATAGATTCCCTGGAGCTGGAGTTGCAGGCAGTTTTAAGCTGCCCGGCATGGATGCTGGAAATCAATCCAGCTGTTCTGTGAAAGCAGTATGAGCTCTTAAACACTCAACCATGTCTCTAGCCCTGACAGACATGTTTGTTCCTAGTAAAAAATGTAAATTAAACCAAGAAATAGTACTTTCCCCCATTAACTGATGAAAAAGAGAAGTAATATCCCAAGACTTTTTAGAATACTAAAATCTCAACTTCCCCCTTCTTTCTCTCCCTCCGTATATTCTTTGGCAGCATGATTTTAAGAATTTATATCAATGGTACCATGAATAAGAACAAATGTGTATATGATTGTGATTTAAGAAAACGGTGCAAGAAAGATGCCATGGGACAGTGTTCAAGTGGAGGTTTATTATTATTATTATTATTATTATTATTATTATTATTATTATTGGAAAGGGATCGTAAAAAGGGGGAAGGGGCGGCAGGGAGACCAGTCTCTGGGGAACAGGAGCAGCAGGAGGGGGAGAGAAGAGGAGGGAGGATGAGAGAGAGGAACAGAGAGAGAGAGAGAGAGAGAGAGTGGGGAGGAGAGGAAGAGAAGGATGGGAGGTGGGCGGGCCCTTTCAGAAGGGAACAAAGGGAGTGAATGTGCACTCAGTGTCTGCAGCTGAGGGTGTATCCTGTCAGGACCCCCCAGGACAGGCCAGTCCAGATGCCTGAATGCTAACAATGTTTTTGTCACATTTCTGTTGCTAAATATTTAAAAAAAAAAAAAAAAAAAAGGGAAATAGTTTTTTTAAAAGAATAGGTTTGGTTTAATCACTTATGGTACATTTAGCTTGTAAAATGAAAATCCAGCACGAAAACCATGAAAGAGCTGGCAGTGATGCATACCTTTAATCAGAGCATTTAGGAGGCAGAGGCAGGTGGACCTCTGCGTTCGAGACCAGCCTAGTATACAAAGAGTTCCAGGACAGTCAGGGCTACACAGAGAAACTTAATCTCGAAAACCATGATAAATAAATAAAATAATCAAATACATAAATAAAAACATAAAAGATGAAATGAACTCAGTCACAATGTAATGTCTGCCTGAACTTTGATCCACTTTGGGAAAAGTTTCTAAACACTAGGAGAAAAAAAAAAACAACAAAATGTTACCTCTGGATGATGAGAGACAAATGATTTAAACTTTGTTTTTTAACTACATTAACAGTTGGAAGCCTCAAATTTTGCTCTTGGTAAATAAGTATGGTACAATCACACTAATATTTGTTACATTCTCATTCGGAGTTTTATACACATTAAAGCTTAGTCTCAAATAAATTGCCACAAATTTGCTATCAGTTCTAAATGTTGAGACTTTATACCATATATTATCACTTCTCTGTGTTTGCAGCATACTTCTCAATGCCCACCCAGTGCTGGGCAAGGGATTTTTCAGAAAGACCTCATCATAGTGACTGATCAGCTCATAAAGAACTTGTTCGCCCCCTGCTGCCCAAAGTGCTAAAAATTCCTTTGAAAAAGTATTTCAGTGTGTGTGTGTGTGTGTGTGTGTGTGTGTGTGTGTGTGTGCGCGCGCGCGTGTTGGGTTCAGAGGACAGCTTTTGGGAGTTCGATTCTTGCCTTTATTATTCTGCGCATCGGCTCAGGTGATCTGGTTTGCGCAGCAAGCGTTTCTACCCACTGAGCCATCTCACCAGCCCCAATTCGGTTTTCCTGACCATCTTTTCTGAATATGCCTGTTACTACAGAATAAAGGAATCTAATAATGAGTTGGGCCAGGTACTGTGTTGTGTATTTACAGACGCCAAGGAGGGGACTGTGCTTTCTGTTTTACAGAGAACACGGCCATGCTCTTACAGAGTCCTTCAAAGGGTGATTTTAAGTCACTCTGATTCAACACCGTCATTACTTTGTAACCCTTATATGTTTCTCATTACTCTGTTTAAAACACTGGACACCACATTAAACCCCCTCCCACTTTTCTGGTATAGAAAAACTAATTGCATTTTAGTGATGTAATTTCTTTAATTTTGGCACAGCTGTACTTGAGTGCCTATGCTGTCAGGAAATACCATGGCCGTTTTCATGTTCGTAATCCACTTACTATAAAGCCTACGTTTTCATTTTCTGGATGTATGCTCTGACATGCACATAGGTATATGTGTAACAGGCAATGAAGAAAGCCCTAGTGTTAAGTGGTGTGTGTGTGTGTGTGTGTGTGTGTGTGTGTGTGTGTTTGTACATACATTAAATGCCCAACATACCCATGAGATTCTGAAGAGGTTGAATTGTTGAAGATCACTAAGATAGTCCCAGCTGGCACCAGACAGCCTGCTTTCAAAGCTCATCTGTCTTCTATTGTATGAGAGGGGAGGTTTTCGAGGCTGAGTTTCTCTGTATAGTCCTAGGTGTCCTGGATCTCACTTGGTAGACCAGGCTGGCCTCAAACTCAGACATCTGCCTGCCCCTGCTTCTCAATTTCTAGGATTAAAGGCATCACTGTCCAGCTACTGTATGACATTTTACTATGTTTCACTTTATAGCTAATGACCTTTAGACTTTGTTTCTTTTAATCAAAATTAATAGGAGTGTTTATTTAAAGTAGTTATTTCAAAAATAATCGTTCAAAAATCTGTAAATATGAACTACACATAATTTTTAATATATTTTAATAACTAATATAAATAATAGAAAGACTGAGTAGGACTATTATTATATGAGAAAATTGGATTGGACTGAGCCTTAAATAATATATCCTGTTCTTGTAATGCTAGTTAAAATCCTTATAGAATGGCACAAAATGCTTAAACACAAGTCTGTAAAAGTTTAGTCTTCAATTAATTTTACATGCTGACCTATACATTTTATCCTCTTTATATTTTGCTAAATGTGTGTGGCTTGAAGTGAAATACTCTAGAAAAAGTAAAAAAAAAAAAAAACCAAGTCTGCTTCCTTTGAAGGCTGCTTCTCAGTGATGTGTCAGATGCATCTAAAGACCTGTGAAGAGCATGGGGTTTGTCCACTGGCAGGTGAGGGGTTTGATGTCCTGGAGCTCGTCCACTGGCCGGTGAGGGGTTTGATCTACTGCGGCTCTGGTTTTGTCAAGAGTTAGCTGAGGAGCTTTCTAAACAGAATCTGCTTAAGGTGAGCTTTTTAAATACTCCAAGTGGTCTTTGGCTATTTGTGTGTTTAGATTTAAACTATAGAAAGGAGTTGGAAGGAATGCTTGGTGGTTAAGAAGGGGCATTAACTGCTTTGTTACATTTTTTGAGATAGGGTTGCTCTGTGTAACAGCTCTGGCTGTCCTGGAACCCATTCTGTAGACCAGGCTGGCCTTGAACTTGCAGAGATCCAGTTGTCTCTGCCTTCTGAGTGTTGGGATTAAAGTCATGTTCACAATGCCTGGTGAGCGTTAACTGTTACAAAGGCCTGGAATTCCTTATGGTTGGTACCTCATCCCTGATGAGCAACTCACAAGAACCTGTAGTTACAGCTAGAGGGAATCCAGCATCCTCTTTTGCCCTCTGACACCCACATGCCTGTGTGACCAGGCATGTGCTAGTGAACACACACACAAATGTTAAAAACTCTTAAACCTATTCCAGTGTATCAATAAAATTAAAACCTTGGGATGTCTGATATTTCCATATGTTTGGCTTAAGGAATTGGGCATTTGAGCAATCTGGAGACTTTTCTGACTTAAGCCTTTTGTAACATGATGTGTGTGGAGAGCTTAGCCTGTGTAAGGCTTTTCTTCTGATCTCTTCAGCCATGCCTGCTTTACTAATTATGTGTAGCTTCCCCTCTGCCTACTGCTTGCCATCCACAAGTGTCTTCACATCTTCATAGTCAATGGAGATTTCAGAATGTGGCTTTCATTCTTACCACACGGTACCATGTTAAATAATGTGAATCATCTGGTAGTATTGTAGTCTAGAGACATACATACATGAATCCCTTTGTCTTGAGAAGCTTTGTATGTATGTACGTATGTATGTATGTATATATATTAATAGTAGACATGCAAATAAAACATTTACTGACAATAAAACATGAAGAATTTGATGTTGGTACACATGAAAACTTATCACTTAT